GTGATAAAAATTGTGTTAAAAGAGTAATTAGAGATTAAACCATGTCATCTTTTTCTATAGACATGTCATAATTTTTCAATGACAAGTCATAGTTTTGAACAAATAAGATTAAAACAAATAATCATTCTAATTAATTGTACTTCTCTTTTAATAGGAAGAAGATTGAATAAGAAAATTTTATAAAAATACATTTAACTAATTATAAAATTCATAAAATACGGACATTAACTTAATTTAGTTAGGCAATGGCATAAAAAAACCGGAACTTCTTCAATTGGTTTTTTCTTTTTTTCTTTTTGGTTAATAAACAAATACAACCGACTAACTCTTTTCTAAATATAATAATTCTATCACAATACACTCGACATGTAATTATATAATAACGTAACGCATATGCACATTATCCAACTATATATAATAACGTCACAACTCATCCATTTTCAATCCAATCAAAGCAAGTACCAACACACACACACAAACATAAAATAAAATCGTTGATCTCAATTCTCGACTTATGGAGAGTAAACATCACTTTGTGTTAGTTCACAACGCTTTTCATGGAGCTTGGATCTGGTTCAAGCTCAAGCCCCTCCTTGAATCCGTCGGCCACCGTGTCACTGCCGTCGAACTAGCCGCCTCCGGGATCGATCCACGACCGATCCAAGCCGTTGAGTCTTTCGACGAATACTCTCAACCGTTGATCCAAACACTCGAATCTCTCCCGGAGAATGAACAAGTCATTCTCGTTGGATCTAGCTTCGGAGGCATCAACATTGCTTTTGCCGCCGATAAGTTACCGGAGAAGATTAAGGTTCTTGTGTTCCTCAACGCTTTCTTGCCCGACACAACCCACGTGCCCTCTCACGTGCTAGATAAGGTTTAACAATAAAAATTAAAAACACTAACGTCAAACCTAATTTAAATATGAGTATAAATAAATATCTTTAATTATATGTTTTTTGTTGATTGAGATAGTATACGGAGATGCATGGAGATTTTGAAGATTGTGGGCTTTCGTCTCATGAAACAAGAAATGGAGCAATGAGTTTGTTAAAGATGGGACCTAAATTCATGAAGACTCGTCTTTACCAAGAATGTCCAATTCAGGTATTAACCACTAATCTCTCAATATTTGTAACGTGTAAATAACAACAAAATCTATACTCAAACTCTCTTTGTGACTAAACGATTAATCTCTTTCTGAAACCTCTTTATAAGCATAGAAAAAGTTGAAAGCTATGTGCTAAAGAAATCGTGTTTTCTTGGTTATATATGAAGATTATTAATTTGATATTTGTATGTTAATAATAGGATTACGAGCTAGCGAAGATGTTGCATAGGCAAGGGTCATTTTTCAAAGAGGATTTATCAAAGAAACATAAATTTAGTAAAGAAGGGTATGGTTCGGTGCGACGAGTGTACATAATGGGATGTGAAGACAAAGGCATTCCTTCCGATTTCATTCGTTGGATGATTGATAATTTCAACGTCTCAAAAGTCTACAAGATCGACGGTGGAGATCACATGCTAATGCTCTCTAAACCAAAACAACTCTTTGACTCTCTCTCTGTTATCGCCGCCGATTAACTCACCGTTAGCTTATGTGCCTTTTTTTTTTTGTTATCAAACAAATAATAAAAGAAAACTTGTGACTTTTAAAATTTCATCTATAAATGCTTTTTTATTAATCAATAAAATAAAAAACTTGCAACTTCGGATTTCTATCTATAAATTTGCTTTTTGTTTTGTTCTTTTTTTGGTGTAATGAAGTTAATAAAAAAAAAATCATTGTCTAAGCCTCTAAGGTTAACTTATGTTAATTGATTCATTTATATTTGCGTTGTTGTTGTGAAGCTAGCTATAATACAAAAGGGAAATCAAAATTAAAGTGATGTTAATAATTGTACCAAGTCTTACTCAGATATGGGTCTACAAAAGATTCACGAGAAGAGACTTAAACAGTGACGTGTAGGACATCGAGGCAGGTGAGACAAAATTGATTAATCAATTTTGACAGTGTATTGTTCCACTCAAATCAAATCTAATTTATTCTTTCCACAAAAAAATCTAATTACAATTAGTTGGAATAATTTTTTTTTTTTTTTATAAATGTGAAGTAAGTAATTGATTTATATCCCAAAAGGGTTTTGTCAGTAAGTAAATTAAAAAGGCTGTAAAAGCTGATGAAAATCAATTGTGAACATGCAAACGTTAAGGAATCAAGAAGACAGATTTTAAATTTACTATAATGAAATTGAAAAAATTAAAGCAAAAGTGTTGAAAGAAATGAATGACGCAAGTAATTAGTTACATCTTTCTCTCTTTATGGAAATGCAATAGTAGCAAAATGTCAGCGATTCAAAAATTTCAAAATAATCATAGAACTTTTGATTATTTACAAATTGAGCCGTACATTTACAAAGAATCCAAAGAACACCTCTCTGCTCACAAAAATCTAAAAGAGATAGAAGAAGAGATCAAACCAGAGAAGGATGATGATTTTTTAAGGGTTATAAAAATGGCCATTGCAATGGCATTTCCAGCCCATGGGTTTGTAATTAGAGTACTGATCAAGGACGGTGGTTAGAGACGACGGAGGTCTGACAAAACCGCCGGAAAACGGGTCAACTCGGGTGAATCGGGAGCGAGTCGGTAGAGTTGGTACTTGAGCAGGCATGCAAGGATGACAACCATTGCATCTGTTGTGACAGCTCGGTGGTGTGGAACCTAATCTTGCTTTATCTTCAATCAAAGCCACCTGAATCAAAGACACAAGAAAAGAAAAAAAAAACAAAACTTTTAATAAACAAATGATTTGGAGGGAAATTTGAGTGTGAAAGATTGATTACTTGAGGAGAATTCGGAGGTTGGACAGGTTGAAGAAAGGATGAGACTTTT